ATTTGGTCATGATGTACAATTCTTTTTATACTCTTTGCAAATATTTTGTAAAGGATTTTTGCATCTCTGTTCATGGGGGATATTGGTATGTTGTTTTATTGTAATGTCTATGTGGTTTTGTTATTTGGGTAATGTTGGCCTCATGGAATAAGGTAGGAAATATTTCCTCTGCTTCTATTTTCTGAAAGAGATTATAGAGATCTGCTATAATTTCTTCCTTAAATGTTTGGTAGAGTTCACCATCTAGACCTGGTGCTTTGTGTTTCAGACGGTTATTAATCATTGACTCAAAATCTTTGATAGATATGAGCCTATTGAGATCATCTACTTCTTTTTGTGTAAGTTGTTTCTTTTAAGAAGTTGACTCTTTTCATCTTTATCAAATTTCTGGGCATAGAGTTGTTAATAAAGTATTTCTTTATTAACCTTATTATATTCAGAGGATCTATAGTTATGACCTCTCTATTTTTCTGATATCAATAATTTGTGTTCTCCCCCTTTTGTTCTTCATTGGCTTGGCTTATCTGGTTTATCGACTTTATTGATCTTTTCAAGTTAAGAGCTTTTGATTTTGTTAAATTTTTTTCTATTGATTTCTTCTCTTCAATTTCATTGATTTTTCCTCTTATTCTTATTATTTCTTTTCTTATGCTTACTTTGTATATAATTTACTCTTATTTTTTTGTTTCCTAAGGTAAAAACTTAGAAGACTGATTTTAGATCTTTTTTCTATTACAAGATATGCATTTAACACCATACATTTTCCTCTAAGCACTGCTTTTGCTGCATCCCAAAAATTTTAATAAGTTAGTTTTTCATTTTTATTTAGTTCAAAATATATTTAAATTTCTGTTGGTATTTCTTCTTTGACTCATGTGTTATTGAAAAGTGTGTTGATTGATATCCAAGTATTTGGAGATTTTCTAGGTATCTTCCTCTTACTGATCTCTACTCTAATTCACTTGTGGTTTGAGAATGCACACTGTATAAATTCTATTTTTATAAATTTGTTAAAGTGTGTTGTATGACCCAGCATGTGGTCTATGTTGTTAAATTTTCCTTGTGAGATTGATAAAAATATTTATTCTGTTGTTGTTAGATGAAGCAGTCTATAAATGTCTATTATATTCAGTTGGTTGACAGTATAGAATTCCAGTGTATCCTTACTAAATTTCTGTCTGCTAAATCTCTCCATTTCCAAGAGAGAGGTATTGAAGCCTCCAATTATGATAGTGGATTCATCTTTTCTTCTTGCAAGTTTATCAGTCTTTGCCTTATGTAGTTTGATACTGTGTTGTTAGACATATACACATTATGAATTTTTGGAGTATTTGTTCTAGATCTGTGAAATACTCCAAAAATATTATATAGAACCAAAAAAGACCCCAAATAGCCACAGCAATCTTGATAAAGAAGAATAAAGTAGAAGGAATCACAATACCAGATATCAAGTTATACTACAAAGCCACTATAATCAAAACAGCCTGGTACTGGTACAAGAACAGGCATATAGATCAATGGAACAGAACAGAGAACCCAGAAATCAACTCAAGCCATTAAGCTCAATTAATATTTGACAAATGAGGCAAGAGCATACAATGGAGTAAAGACAGTCTCTTAAATAAATGGTATTAAAAAAAATTGAACATAAAAAAGTTACAAAAAACCAGAAACTTACACCACACAAGAATAAACTCAAAATGAATAAAAGACTTAAATGAAAGCTGTGAAACCATAAAAAATCCTAGAAGAAACCATAGGCAACAGCTCACAAAACAGAATTTTTATCAATACATTGCCTAGGGCAAGAGAAACAAAGGAAAAAATAAACAAATGGGACTATATCAAAATAAAAAGCTTCTGCATAGCAAAAACAAACAAACAAAAAACCCAGCATCAATATAAAAAGGGAACCCACAGTATAGGAGAACATATTTGCTAATGATACATCCGATAAGGGGTTAATTTTCAAAATATATAAAGTACTCATACAACTCTAGAAAAGGAAGACAAACAACCCAATTTAAAAAATGAGCAGAGGATCTGAATAGACACTTCTCCAAAGAGGACATACGAATGGCCAGGAGACATGAAAAAATAATTAGATCAACGTCACTAATCATCAGAAAGATGCAAATTAAAATGACTATGAGGTATCATCTCACACCTACCAGAATGGCTACCATCAACAAATCATCAAACAAGTACTGGCAAGCATGTGGAGAAAAGAGGACTCTGGTACACTGCTCCTGGGAATGCATACTAGTGTAGCCATTATGGAAAACAATATGGTGTTTCCTCAGAAAATTAAAAATAGAACTGCCATTTGACCCAGTGATCCCACTTCTAGGAATATGCCCTAAGAATCCTGAAACACCGATCAGAAAGAATTTATGCACCCCTATGTTCACAGTAGTGTGATTTACAGTAGCTGAAATCTGGAAACAGCCCAAGTGTGCATCAATAGATGAGTGGATAAAAAGCTGTGGTACATTTACATAATGGAATACTATGCAGCTGTACCCTTTGTGACAGCATGGAAGACTTGGAGAGTATTATGCTAAGTGAAATAAGGCAGTCTGAGAAATACAAGTATCATATGATCTCACTTATGTGTGAAATCTAATGAACAAAATAAACTGATGAACAAAATAGACCCTGAGACATGGAAGTAGGGAACAGACTGATGAACGTCAGAGGGAAGGGGGAAGGGATGTCAAGAAGAGATAAACCAAATAACTTATATGCATATATGCATAACCAATGGACACAGATATTAGTGCAGTAAAGGTTGGGAGCTGGAGTGAGAGCATAGAGGAGGGGATCAATGGGGGAAAAAAGGAAGGACATCTGTAATACTTTCAACAATAAAGATAAATTTTTTAAAAATTGTTATAATTGTTATGTCATCTCAGAAATTGACTCCTTTGTCATTATGTTATCCTCTTCTTTGCCCCTGATAACTTTACTTATTTTGCATTCTTCTCTGTCTGTGATTAACATGGCTACTCCTGCTTTCTTTTGATAACTATTAACATGGTATTTTTCTCCACTCATTTCCTTTTAATCTCTATGTGTCTTTATATATGAAGTGGGTTTCTTGTAGGCATCATATAGTTAAATTTGTTTTTTGATCCACTCTCCCAAACTTTGTCTTTTCCATTTATACCATTGATATTCAGGATGATTATTGATATATTTGGTTTAATATCTACCTTATTCATTACTGTTTTTTATTTTTTAACCTGTGTTTTGTTCCTATTTTTGTTTTCCATTCTTTCCTGCCTTTTCAAAAATTGAGCATTTGGTATGATTCCATTTTTTTTCTTTTCTTTGCATATAGTTATACTTTATTTTTCTTTTATTGATCTTAGAGAGAGAGGAATCGAGAGGGAGAGAGAGATAGAAACATCAGTGAGAGAGAACATCTATTGGCTGCCTCCTGCATGTCCCCCACTGGGGATCAGGTCCACAACCTGGGCATGTGCCCTGACTGGGAATCAAACCAGCTACCTCATGGTGAATGGATTGATGCTCAACTAGTGAGCCACGCCAGCCGGGCATATATTTCTTTTCTTTTTTTTTTTTTTTAAAGCATTTTGAGTGGTTTTCCTAGAGTTTTCAATATACATCTACAAGTAATCCAAGTCTACTTTTAAATAACACTGTACTACTTTACATGTAGTGTATCTTATAATAACAAAATAATCTTAATTCCTTCTTTCTGTCTCTTATATAATTTTGTCATTTATTTCACTTATATATAAGCATATATATATATATATGCACATATATGTAAGCATACATAATTGAATATGTTGTTACTATTTTGAGTTTGAATAAACTGTTACTTGATAGCTCAATTAGTAAGAACAAAAACGAAACATTTTAATTTTAATTTCACTTATTTCTTTTTTAATGCCTTTTCTTTCTTTATGTAGATCCAAGTTTCTGACCTATATTATTTACCTTTTCTCCATAGAATGTTTTTTTTTTTTTTAACATTTCTTGCAAAGCAGGTCTACTGATAACAAATTCCCTCCTTTTTTAGTTTGTTTGAGAAACCATCTCTCCTTCATTTTTGAAGCACAATTTTTTGGGGGGATACAGAATTTGAGGTCTGTGGGTTTTTCTTTCTCAAAGCTTTGAATATTTCACTCAACTCTGGTCTTACTTGCATAGTTTCTGAAGAGAAATTGGATGTAACTCTTTGTTCCTCTATAGGTAAGGTTTTTTTCTTCCTCTTTTGGGATTTTTAAAATTTATTTTTTATTTTCTGTGATTTGAAAATGGTATACTTGAGTAGGTATGGGATTAGTTTTTCTGACATTTATCCTGCTTGGTATTCTCTGAGAATCCTGGATCTGTGGTTTTGCATCTGACATTAATTTGGGGGCAAATCTCAGTCATTATTGTTTTATATATCTGTTCTGTTTCTTCCTCTCTTTTTTCTCCTTCTGGTATTCCCATTATGCACATGTTACACTTTTTATAGTTTTTCTACAGTCCTTAGATATTCTGTTCTGTATTTTCAGTATTCTTTTCTTTTAGGTTTTCAAGGATTCTACTGATGTGTGATCTAGCTCAATGATCTTCTCTTCATCTGTGACCAGTCTACTAATAAACCAATCAAAGGCATTCTTCATTTCTGTTAGTGTTTACTTATCTCTAGCATTCAGTTTTGTTTTTTTCCTTAGGATTTCCATCTCTCTGCTTACATTGACCATGTGTTTTTGCATGTTGTCTACTTTATTCACTAAAGCCCTCAGCGTATTAATCATAATTGTTTGAAATCCCCAGTCTGATAATTCCAACATCCCTGCCATGTCTGGTTCTGTTGCTTGATCTGTTTCTTCAAATTGTGTTTTATGCTTTTGTTATGGCTTGGAATTTTTTTCTTGATAGCTGCACATGATATAGCAGGTGTCATCGACCAGGGGTTGCTGGGGGGAGATTCTGTGGTAAGATGCCCAGGGTAAAGAAAGCTTGCAGAATCGACATCAGGAGGAATCAGCAGCAGCTTTATTCCAACACTTCTAACAGCTTTTATAGAATCATGCAGTAGGATGATCTAAGCGTGGCGCTGCGTGGCGCATGTATTCTAAGTCTTGCTTTGTCATGCTTATGTAAGAGATCTGTTACATAAGAAAACATGGTCTGCGCTCGCACAGCCAGTTCCAGGCACACATCCTGAACCATGGCCTTTTTTGGCAATAGGCCACGTTCCCAGGTCCTCACAGCCCACCCCTGGAGAGGCTTGTGTGTCGGGACTTGACCCATAAAGCATTTCCCTATGCACAGAGCCCACAACAGCAGTACAGGGTGCAGCATATAACCATGAGCTCTCCAGCGAGGCCTGACAAAATCAATAGGGCCCATCTCCAGAAATTCCCCAACTTGGTCCACCATTGTGTCAGGAGGTCTTCCTGGAGGGCCTGTATTGATGAAACTTCAGCATCTATTTCTTTTAAGGCTTTCTGTATTTGCTGCTGATGATCTGGAATACAAACACAGCATTCCACATGCAAAAGGGCACAAATTCCTCCTTGTATCACAGTCAGGAGGTCTAAAGCCATCTTGTTTTGTAACACTACTTTATGCATCTGGTAGTCTCATCTATCAGCAAGGCTAGCGATATAGAGGTAACATTCAAGGCTTGGGCTATATGTTGAGCCAAAGCATCTACTTGCAATTCTACAGCTATGACTCTACCCCCAGGTAAAAACAAAGCCAGGGGACAGAACCAGGCAGCTCTTTTCTCTCGGCGCCATCTATGGTAAACAGTGGGTTTACCATAGCCAATTAGTGGGTCTCTGGGTTACAGTAGGGGCAAAGTGGCCCTATATAAAGGGGTGCCCCCATGTGCATCATCCTGTCCAATGTATGATAAGGTAGGGCCACCCATAGTGTCAACAGATGCAGAGGGCATCGCCCGGTAAAAAGTCTGTATGCTTGGTACCCACTAATTTTCTCCCATCCCACCAGTGGTTGGTATCCCTTATACAAGAGATGTTGTGACACAGTTCCTTAGGGATCTAACCTACTGTACAATTGGGGACAGTATAATTCACTTGCTCTGTACAGAAAGGGGCTACTTGCAATAATTCTACATGGGTTCCCACCAGCCACCCCCAACCATTGTATACAACCTTCCCGAGTAAGGGAGGTTCATTGTGATAAATCCATTGTAGGAGGGTCTCAGTAACTCGGCAGTGTGCATTCCACTCGACACCGGCATAATTCCAGTTGCAGAGAGCAGTCCAATTCTTGACTGTAGCCAGAGCTACTTGCCAGGGACAGTCTTCCGAAGTATCTGAGGGTAACTCGGTACAGACCCAGCAATGTGACACATTGTGACCTTGGCGAAGGTATGTGCCCAGGACAGTAAACTGTTCCCAGTAGCCTGGGTGGTAAGACAAAGCAGATAAAGAAACCATCATTGCAAGTCATGACCCTCTGGCAAGATGCATGCTACCTGCTTACCCTGTGATAGGATGGTAGCTTGTGGGGGGGGGGGCTCCTGGCCGGTGATACCACACCTGTAGTCCTGGCATGGGGGGCATAGGCTCCTCTTCTATGTTTACCAGATATAGAGGTATGGGCCACAGATGAATGGCTGGTGTGCCGCACAAGAGGAAACTTTTCACCTCAGGGGGCAACACAGCCTGTACTATCAGAGGCCAGCATCCTAATTAGGGAATAAGTGAGAGCCCCTTTTCCAAATCTTGACCCCAGGGTTTGAGAAGAACTATACAAGGGGCCTCAAAGGTTTCTACTTGCCAAGGCCATGTCCATTGCTCTGCACATCCAGGAGCCACCACTGTGGGAACAGGTAAAATAATGGTACCTCCTCTCATGGAAGGCCTTAAGTCTGTTTCAGGTGGTACCCTCGGTGACCTTGGCCAGAGGGGCTTCACCTGTTTTTCACAGTTGTTCATTTTAGCCTCACTGCTATAGGTAGGTGTCTTTTCCAGCACCTCCAATGAGGTGTTAGGGCTCATAATTTTTCCTTCAAGAACCCGCTGAATTGCTCTATCCTACCTGTGGCTTGGGGTCTATAAGGGACATGTAATTTCCAACTGATGTCATTGTTCCATGCCCAGGTTTGGACCAAGTGGCCTGTAAAGTGAGTTCCTCTATCACTAGCTATAAGGGGCCTCCCATAGGTGGCCGCCAACCACTCCAGAGCTTGTAGAGTATGTGGCTGATCTGTTTGGCCACAGGGAAGGCAAATCCAAGGCCCTTAGTGGTGTCAATAGCAGTTAACACATAAACGCTCCTTGGTCCTAAGGCAACAGTCCAATGTAATCGACCTGACAGTTTTGTAAAGGTTGGGCTCCCCTGGGAATTTGCCCCAGTTTCAACGGTAACTGTCTCTGCTTTGGGTGGTGTTCGGCACACCACGGACATTCACACACAGCTTGCTGGGCCTTAGCTCTAGTTATAGGCAAGCCCCAGCACTGGGCCACCAAACCCATGGTTCGAGCAACAATGTGACCCAGTTTCATATGTAACCAGGCAGCTACTACAGCCGGTTCTGGAGAGCTCAGAAGGGCTTGCACTCATACCAGTGCATAGGCTGCATCTTTTCTAGGGGTCTGCAAGGGCTTATGCCCTGACATGTGGCAGATTACCACTCCTTCTTTTAGGCCCCGTTCCCAAAGGTCCGGCCACATATCTTTCCCCCAAGGGGTCTGTGGCCTATAAACCACTCTTGGGCTGCCCAGCGAGGCAGTCACAGAGTTAAGCCCCTGTATACTGCTCTACTATCGGTGCACATGTGCACATGGCCAGACTCTTTCATTAACACTATCTACATGGCTCATAATTTGGCCCATTGACTTGAGTGTCTGGCTCCTGTATCATACCAAAAAGTATCTGTAGCCAGTTGCAGGGCCACCACCGCCGACATTGGCGGTTGGCCCCAGCAAGAACCATCATTATATACCAGGTGTCTGCCGAGGGGGAGGCTTTCCCTCCTCAAAGGGGCTGGGGCTTCCCTCCACTTCCACAGAGGGCTCCTCATATTCTGCTTTATAGGTCCTAGCAAGGAGTGCAGCTCCTGCATTAAAGGGCTAGTAGAGAACTGGGCTCTCTGTTCCAAGTACACTCTCCACTTTCTCAAAGTGGGGCTTTGGGTAGCCCATGACCGTAGCCACCCCTCTACTGGATAGGTCGTTTGTACTGTGACAAGACAAAGACCAGTGATACTTTCACTGTCCATTAGGGCTGCATACATCACTGCTTTTCAATAAGGAAGTACTGACTTTCAGCTCCCTTCCACAACTGGGACAAAAACCCAATAGGGCTTTCCCGAGTCCCTTGTTTCTGCCAGAGGCCCCAGACAAATCTCAGGCCATCCACTTGTACAGTCAGGAGGAATAGCAAAGCCAGATCCACAACTCAAAATGTCTGCACCTGGGTCACCCCCTGTTTTGTAGCCAGAAATTCTTGCTCCACTTGGGGAACTAGTCCCAGGCTTCCCCCTTGTGGACCATGTGGTGGAGGGGTTTCATCAACAGGGCTAAATGGGGTATAAAGGTTCGCCAGAACCCTAGCAGTTGCAAGTATGTCTGCAATTGTTTCACTGTTTCTGGTTGGAGATAGCCCTGTATCTTATCTATAATCACCTCTGGCATGACCTTTGTCTTTCCCCACCAAACATTACCCAAAAACTTAACAGAGTATCCAGGACCTTGGACTTTTCCTCATTGACGGCCTAACCCCAGCCGGTCAGGCCATTCCAAAGGCTCTGTGCTCTGGCTTCTAGCTCTGTAGGAGAATCAGAAGTAAAAATGATATCATCAATATAATGGAACAGGTATACATGTGGAGGTTTGTTCTAGGATGCTAAATCCTGGGCTACCAAACCATGACAGAGAGTTGTACTATGTAAATAGCCTTGGGGTAATACTTGGAACATCCATTGCTTTCTTTCCCAGGTAAAGGCAAATTGTTCCTGGCTCTGAAGTCAATGTCTATGGAGAAAAAGTCATTAGCCAAATCCACAGCGTAATAAAACCGCCCCAATTCTTGTGACAAGTGGTTCATCAATTCAGTGATATTTGGTACTGCCTCATGTAAGGGCAGGGTAACCTTGTTCAGTTCCTGGTAGTGCACAGTCATCCTCCATGAGCCGTCAGGCTTTCACACCTGCCACACCAGGGAATTAGAGGGGCTATGCATTGGGCAAATAACCCTTGTTTCTTCTAGTTTCAGAATAGTTCACCCAATTTCTTCCCCATATAGTCAGTACTGTTTCACATTGACTCCACATGTTGCTTGCAGGAGCTGCAAGGGAGCATGTTGTGAGTGTCCTTTAATCACTGTCTTTACCATACGCACCCATAGATGGAATTCGCCTTGCATAGTTTGGACTGTGAGGCCTCATAGAACATCTATCCCCAGTATATATTCAACAATTGGCAAAATACACACCTCCTAGGGGGTTGGCGGCAAACGTCCACACCAGCATAAGGGTAACTCATCGTACTTGGATTTGCCATATCCCTTTATCATAGTGCTAGGGCCCTGAAAGCAGTCTGGATTCCCATAAATCAGAGTAGAATCCATCCCTGTATCCACAAGGGCCAAAATGCATTGAACATTCTGGGGGGACCAGTAAATAATCACTTCTACATATGGCCTCTGGTCATCCGCTTCCCCTATCAACTGGGTGCCTCAGCCTGTCTTCTAATCAGGCAGGTAGTCAGCCAATTGCACCTCTGTGTCTTAGTTACAGGGGATAAGAGAGTGTATTGCTGTTCAGGGCGCAGGTTCCACCACAGGTCCAACAGCAGTTCTAGTGGCTGCCCATCTATCTTCTCCTTGGCCAGCCTGGCTGCTAGTAGATCACACTATAGTTGATGCTGGCTTACCTTCACTGGCCCATTCTCTGGCCTGCGGTGGGTCACCTTACCCACAGCACCTGTGGCTGGTGTGGCTCGAGATGGTTTAGTCTTGCCTTCCATGAGTCCCCGTACCCATGCCACCCAGCCTTGCTTTCATACTTCCATATCCCCCAGCCGCACCAAGGCAGCAGTTATTTCATGGACCAGGAGATCTGTGTAAGGGGCTAATAAAGCTGCCATAGTCCCAAAAGTCCCTGAAGGGCCATTTGCTAGCACCATGTCCTTCATGCAAGCCATAAACAGCTCTTCATCGGGGCTGCCATACTGCGGGGCAAACGTCATCTGGCACATACCCATCTCCTATATGACTTGTACTAAGTTCAGGTAAGTGGTCCACTTACTTATGTGCTCCAGGAGATCTCCAGCATTCTCCCACATGGTTCGGGCAGCCGCCACCAACCAATTGATCAGTGTCTGGTTACCAGCCTGGGGGTTCGTCTGCAGCACATTCTACAACTGCTGCCACAATGAGGGGACAGTGGTGATACTGGCCAATTGCCCCATCTCAATGGGGCTGAGCTCAGTATTGTTCACACAGTCATCCCAGAGGTGTAACAACCAAGGTGGGACAGACTCCCCCAACTGCTGCTTACACTACTTTGCAAAGTCCGGTAACTCCATGGCAGAATACGTCATATAAGACATATGCAGGGTTAACTGCTAGGGTCCCGCCAGCTCCCCTCCCAGTGCTAATGGTTCCTCTATCTCTACCATCTATTTCACCAAGGGCCAGGCTTGCCGTATGGACCCAGCAGGACTGCACAGGAAGTCACCGTTGACTTGAGTGGACCCTGGAGCATGTACTCAGCCACTGCCAGGTGCTGCTCCAAGTCCTCTTTCCGATGTAGCTGCTACACTTGGTTTGTGAGGTCCTGGATGTCTCCACTGGCATGGCGCAAGACTGCCAGGAGCATCCAGGTGATTCTACCCGTGTGCCATGGGAATATTCAGTTCCAGTATTTCCAAAGCCTTCTACACCTCTTCAGGAAGTGAATGTACAGTGTCCCAATCTTCTGGTGGCATCCGGGGCATTAGTTACGCCTATACCACGTACCAGAGGGATGCTGGGGGCCATATCCCATCCACCTTGGGGCTGCTCCTCACTAGGGGCTGTTGGGGTACTCACCTCATCCTGCTGACTACGCCGAGTGTCGTCCACCGAGGGTTGCAGGGGAGGTTTCAACAGCGAGATACTCAGGGTAAAGAAAGCTCGTGGAGATGACATCAGGGGAGTCAGCAGCAGCAACTTTACTCCAACACTTCTAACAGCTTTTATAGAATCATGCAGTGGGATGATCTAAGCGGGGTGCTGTGTAGCGCATGCGTCCTAAGCCTTGCTGTGTCATGCTTATGTAAGGGTTCTGTTACATAAGAAAACATGACCTGTGCTTGCGCAGCCAGTTCTGGGCTCACGTCCTGAACCATGGCCTTTATCGGCAATAGGCCACATTCCCGAATCCTAACACCAAGTAAAATAAACTGCTGTAAATAGGTCTTTAGTAATGTGGTGGTGAAGTATCCGGGGAAAGGAAGTATTCTATAGTTCTATGATTAGGTCTGTCTTTTTAGGGAGCTTAAAGACTCTGGACTTTAAACTTCACAAGTGTTTCTCAGTCTTGTTCTATCTACTTATCTACTTAGGGGGGAAAGGCAGCTAGATTTGGATATTTCCCTTCCCTTGTCAGTTAAGCTCTGATAATACTCCAGCAGGTTAGGCACTGGTTAACTAAGTTCACTTGAAGGCAGGCCTTGTTAAGCAGAATATAGTGCTCTGGTGTATTTCAAAATGGTTCCTTTTCCCCTCTTTCTGCTGGAAGCCTGGGGGGATTTTTCTGATACTAACTATTGGAAACTGACTGATCTCCTGGAGGCAAATCTTACAATACTGTGGAACCCCAACATAACTGGGTCCCCCTGGAGTTTTTAACTATTAGAGTTTTTCATACTCAGCCTCCAGTAATTCATCAATCACAGTTCAGATTTTTCTACACCAGTAGTGGTTCCCCCTGTGGTTTCTGCTCCTGAGCCTCTGTTCTGATAAGTTGTGATCATCTTATTTGCCTGTTTGTCTCTCTAATGTTAAGGTCGGCAGTTTTCTCTGTGTCCTCAATTCTGTTATAGATTCAAGACTTATTGATTTTTAAGTCTATTTAGATTTTTACTTGTTGGGATGGAGTGGCAACTTCCCAGCTCCTTATAAGAAACTGGATACCAGAAGTCCAGTTATTATACTTTAAACTTCAGAATTTCCATTATCTCAGAAACAATAATTTCTGAGTTCAGTGTTTGATATTTGTTGTGACTCCAGCAGGGCTCCTTCCAGCAGCCTTATTATCCAGTTTTCTTCTGCAAATTGTCCTGACCACAGTCTAGAATTTACCTTTACTAAATCCATGAACCTCCTTCCAATTGCTTTTCACCACTCTCACCAGTGTCCCTGAAAGTTCCTGTAGGCCTGTTACTCTTTAAACTGTTGCAAACAGAGTACATTTTTTTTTAGCATGATATTCAGATCTGTTATATGACTTGCTTTCTCCCCACCCCCAGGCCAAATCTTTGAGCCAGTGCTCTGGAGCTGGGGATGAGAAAATGGCAAGTTTATCTCTGAGTAGTACTCTCACTCTAGGAGCTAATCCCATGGTAAAGGGGCACAGTTAGTAACCTGAGATCCTCTCAGCTTTCCTCTCCTGCCATGGAACTGCCACATAATACGGCAGGAAAATGTGATCAAGGTCCTAGTATTCTCAGCATGCCTCACTCAAGGCAGAGTCTCCCTTTCATGAGTGTGGGCGGGGGGCTGGGTAAAAAATAAGAGACACTACCTCTTGAACACAGTTACCCAGGACCTAGCCTTAGCAACAGGTAGCGTGGGGCAGGATGAAAAATGCCAAGGTCCTACTTTATTGGGAAGAAAACCCTCTGACTGGGAGCTGGGAGAGCTGGAGCCCTGTGTTCTCGGATGCAGTAGTCTGAAGTAAAATATTCCCTCTTGCTGAGCTGGGATGGGGAAAGGAGGAGCTGTCTTGGTTCAAATACCACAAACTCTTACCTTTTTAACTGAATTTTTGCAGATTTTCTTGAACAGATGTCTCTTAATTTGCTGTTTGCCCTTAGGACCATTTCCAAAGATTTAAATGGTTGTTTTAAAAATATTTTTCACCACTTTTACTGAGAAAGGTGTCTGTGGAGCTCTTTATGCTGTCATACTGGAAGTCAATCTCCACTGGGAAGTTTTGAGCTTGCTAATTAAATGGTGAGGTTTGAATTTCATTTTAGTTATTTTCTGTAAGATATATCAGTATAGAGGGTGGAAATATAGGAAAAATAAGAGATTAATTTCATGTTCTAGGCATGAAATGAAAAAGCCTAAACCAAGGCCATAGTGGGGGAAAAGGAGCTGATAAATTAGAATTGAAAAGGGTCAGGGGTATTGGGTAGCCTAAAAGGGATAGAAGCCAAAGATGATTTCCAGGTTTCTGGCATGTGTGATTAGATGATTAGTGGTGCTATTTACTGAGATAGGGAAGAAAAAGTGTTTAGTAGACTTCAGACAGTGGAAACTAATGAAAAATATAATTGTTGAAATATGTTAGAGGTGCCCGTTGAACATCCAAATAGAGCTGAATTGTCATTGTTCATGTACATAGGTCTGGAATTTAGGAGAGCAATCTGGGTTGGAGACTTCTGTTTGGGAGACAATCACATGGGAGCAGTGGTGTGCTAGGTCTTATCTGTAATGGCTCATGAGGGACTGCTAAATTTCCAGAGATTTAATTGAACTGGTTGTTAAACATAGCAGTTATTAAATATTAAATTATTTAAACTTATATAAATATGTAAAATATATAAATAAAAATTTAAAACAAAGATAAACACTCAAAACTCGTTGACTCATTTATTTTATTATCTATGTTCTTGAGGTTATTTACATGCATTGCATTTGTATGATGGAAATCTTATGTAATGGTATGCTATTTTGCATCTCTTACCATCTCTGTGTTCAGTGTTGTCATGTTGGTAACTTGAAGTCTGCCCTGGTGGAAGTATTTACACAAGGGAAAATAGCAAGCACTATATACAAATCAAAAAGATTTTTCTTCACAGAGCCAGTTGTTAAATACAGGGTGTGGCAAAAGTTGTTAACATGAAACATAATACAATAATTAATAAATAATAATACAAACCCTTGTTTTTTGTGCTCACAACTGTAAACCTACTTTTGCCACAGCCTGTATTTACCAGCATACCATTGTATGGGAGCCATTACTATACAGGTGGTGATTCAAATTACATGAATGAATGATGTGATCATCCAGGTAGAGTACAGAATGGGATGAGAAGAGGATCCAGGAACTGGACTAGGAAGAGAAGCTTCAAAACTGCAAATCAGAATCTCCAAGTGGTTTTCAGACCAGTAAAAAGGAGGAAAGTTATACTTTTCCCACTATATAACTAAGGCATCTAGTCATAAAAGCAAAGTGATAGCAAGTTAAGTTAATCTATCTCCTAGAGATGAGTCAGAGAGTGAGAAATGAGCAAGTTGCCTAAGCAAAAAAAATTCCATCCTGAAATCCAAGTCTTGTTAAGCTAAGCTATAAAAGAACAGGAATGTTTACATTGCCTAATTGGGCAGGAGGGCGGAGAGCAGATGGGAAGAGTCTTCACATATGAGAAACAAGCCAGCACCATGCCTCTTTTATTCACACATTTGTGCATCTCCACAAGAATTTATTGAGCACCTTCTAGGTCTCAAGCATAAGCTAAGAACTGTGAACACAGAGTGGATGATACAGTCAAACAGTAAGTACTAGAAAGTTGTGGTGGTCAGAGAAATCTCAGAGTACATGGGGTTTGAGCTGGGCTTTGAAGGTTAGTTAAGAAGCACCTGGATGGAAAGAAGAGGGTAGAGACTGTTTTCCAAATAAAGTGTAACAGAAATAGGAAAGACCTAGAGCCAGGAATAATAATACTTAACACTTAAAGAATTCTTCCTCTATGCCAAGAGATTTATGTGCACTATCTCATTTAATCCTTAAAACAACCCTATGAGAGACTATTATTATCCCAATTTTACAGTTGAGAAAACTGAGGCCACAAGGCCAGAAATGGCATTATGAATCCAGACAGTCTGACTCCAGAGCCTACAGTTTTAACTAATTATCCCACCTATCTCCTGAGTGTGCAAGGTATTTTCATGAGGGTTTGTGCTGATAGAGGCCCAACTGGAGTACAGAGACTGGGAATCCATTAGACAGGAGAAGTTGATAGGTAAGGGGAGTCTTGAATTCTGCAGATACTCTCATCAATTTAGAACAAGCATGAAAAACCCAACTTTGAATTGTGAATCTGACATTGATTAGTATGTTCCATAGGATAGAATCAATGGTGGCTTCCATTTTCTCACCTTTCCAATGGGTGTGTCAGTGCCAATTCTGAAAGGTTAAAGTGAGGATTAAATGAATAAAAGTATATAACGTGTCCAGCACAGAGTAGATCACCGTAAATGGAGGCCATGACTATTATCTACTTTATGACTTGTAGATTTCTTAGTATAGCCTTTATATATAGAATCTAGTTAACAAAATAAACTGACAAACAAAATAGGACCAGAGGTATGAATGCATGGAACACACTAACAGATCTTAGAGGGGAGAGGATGGGGGGAACTAGATAAAAGAAGGTGAAGAGATTATCCAAAAACGTATGTGCATAGCCCATGGATACAACAGTGTGATGAAGGCTACGTTGTGGCTGGGTGAAGGTGTGCAAAGGTGAGGAAATAGGGAATGTCTGTAATAGTGTCAACAATAGGAATAAAATTAAAAAGAAAACAATGGCAAGTTATTTTTATAGAAGAACAAAAAAAGAATAGTTTAATGTTCTTAGTAATTCCTCAGAGGTCCATCTAAGTGAAACCACATTAATTTTTTTTAATCATTTCTTTTCCTGGTAACTTGTGGCTTAGACTGTTGTACACTCTACAACCTTGGGTTGCTTGTGCTTTCCAGTTGGCAAGTATGAACAAAGACTGACTTGGGTTAGGAAACTGCCCCACATGTGTGCCCACCATTCCTAGGAGGTAGTGATCCCTTTGGGGTGCTACCATTGCAGTGAGGACAGCTAGAAAGGAAGGAGACTAGATCTCAACTTGTCATCTTGATATCGGTCCACATGTCACAGTTAGACTCTGGAGATATCTGCAGTGCTCAATCCCTTTCATCTATACCAGTCCAGTTCTGGGAAGATAGCAGTTAATAACTGTGGAAACACAAGGT